TTCAATGCATCCAGAGTACGCTCCTTCTCATCATTCGCGTTTTGTAATTGCTCCAGCTCATGCTCCTTCGCAGCCAGTTGCTCATTTAGCTTTTCAACCTCATCATTGAATGCATCCAGGGTACGCTCCTTTTCTTCATTCGCGTTTTGTAATTGCTCCAACTCCTGTTCCTTCGCTGTCAGCTGCTCATTCAGTTTCTCCACCTCATCGTTCAATGCATCCAGAGTACGCTCCCTTTCATCATTCGCAGCTTGCAGCCGGTCCAACTCATGTTCCTTCTCAGCCAGCTGCTGATTCAGTTTCTCCACCTCATCATTCAATACATAATGTGCACGACTCTTCTCCTCATTAGAACCGCGAAGTTGCTCGAGTTCTTGGTCCCTGGCTTGCAGCTGCTCCTTTAGCAAGTCCATGCCTATCTTTGGCTGGCCACGTCGGTCATACAAGCGCATTACCGAACGGAACGGACACTCGTCGATCCGCTCCGCAATGTCCTTTGGAGGCACTGAAGCGTCATGCTTCACGTCGAACTCAACCGTCTTCCCGTCAGGAGAAAAGACAACCTTCTTTACGTCGTCAGGGTCAACGCGACAGGCACCCGCTACATCACTCACGAACGCACGAGTCAGCTCCTCAGGCTGCGATTCCAGCACCTGATCCCAACCCTCACCGTCAAACTCCTTCCGGTGATGAGACGTAGTGCGCCTACCAGAACTACGACTTGCCTCAGGTACCCAGCGATCATCGTGTGCACGAAGCTCCTCATTTTCGCCACGAAGTTGCTTGAGTTGGTCAGCTATTTTTTTTATTTGGTCTTTATAGCGATTTAATGTGGAGTCGTTTTCATCCTGCGCTTTTTGTAGTTTTTTTACCTCTTCCTGCGATTCCGTTAAATCTTTTATAGCCTTGATATTTTGTTTGTTGAGGTCATTATATTTTTCATTGTGTTCTTGTTTGAGTTTCTCATTGATGTCCTGTTTCTCCTGGAGAAGTTGGTTAATGTTATCGATGGTGTTTTGGGCTTCTTCTATTTGCTGGAGCAATGCGGCGTTTTTGTTGAGAAGTGTGTCATTATCTTTGTTTTTGTTCTCTAATTCTTTTATTCCATCTTCATTTCTATTTTTTTGAACCTTTAGTTCATAAAGTGCTTTGCCGAGCGCCGCGTAAAGTTTGGGGCGGTGCATGACAGTCCTTGAGGTGATTCTTTTTGCTTCTTCTTCAGAAATAACAACAACCTCAGTGTTGCTGTCTTCAACTTTCGTGGCAATAAAGGGGCGTGGGACATTTACCGGGGAAAGGTCATGTATTGGAGTAAAAGTTACGTATTTTGTCTCGTTGCTACTGGTGCTATTGCCGTTAAATGCACTACTTCCTTCATCGTACCTGCGCAGCTGCTCATCTAGTCTTGCTTTCCTTGCAATAAGATCCTTCATGCGGACTGTGTGTGAGGTTATGGATGCGCTCAGCTCTTCTGTGGTTTGTTGCGAGTTGGCTACTTCCTGAAAAACCTGAAAATGGTCCATTTGGACGATGATCCAATCGTAAAAAAGTGGTATTAATGCGTTGGTTCCAGATTGTGTTTTGTAATCCTGTTGAGAATGACGCATTTGATCTCGTTGCGTGCGAATATTATGCATGTATCTCGCATTTATATCTTCATACTGCTCAACGCTCATCTCCACTGCCACATCATATTCCAACAGACGCTGAATAAACATGGGGTCACGTACAGCAGCGCGTAGATCCTCCCAGTTCCACGATGTCTGCTCCGTTACTCCCTCATTTAAAGTAGCCATGCACACCTCAAGCGCCAGACGAAGTACTGCCAGCGGGAGACGAGTATTGAATAAATCATGTAAACGCACCTCCTCTACCTCAGCTATACCGCGGCGTGCGTTCTCTACAGCATCCTTTGCGCGAGCCACTTCAGCCTCATTGCTCCTTCGAATAGCGCCTAATTCCTCTCGAAGCAGCATCACTGCTCTTTGGCACTCCTGTATTTCTGCTTTAGTGCTCTCCTGTTCACGAAGCAAGGCATCATACACGTCGGCATTGCGTCCGTCCTGTGCATGCCAGCGCTGAAGCAATACTTGATGATCGTCCATTTGAAGTATGCGTCCAATAGACCAACTCCAATGGGATGAGTGATCAAGGAACTCATAAGCAACAACAGAGCCAAGCTGCACTGGTTCCTCAATAGATTGCAGCAACGCCTCAATAGACGCGTGCTCCTCTTCAGGAGAGAGCCTCCCCGCGTGTAGCAGGTATGGCTGTTGCAAGTAAATATCCGTACTGGAATCCATAATTGACTAACAAAAAAGAAAAAAATACACACACACTCAATCACTCACACTCAATTACACACAAACGCACAATCAGAGCGTAAAAACAGACTTTTTTTTTTTTCTAATACTGTTGCCTTAAAGTGCTGTTTGTATTGTATGCAGTTATCCTGAGGTAACTTCCTTTTTTTTTTCCCCTGCTCACCCTCTCAAGTCAGAGAATGTATCTTATGCGTATACCTCTGAAAAGATCTGCTGTCGATGCTTGCACTATTTACTCTTTTTTTTTTTCTTTGCTCGTATTGCTCTTCAAATTCTTTTAACTCTTGAATGATATCCTCTCCGTGAACTGCCACTAGTAGTAGTAGTAGTAGTAGTAGTAGTAGTAGTAGTAGTAGTAGTAAACGGTACACAGGATATATTCTTTACACTCTTTACGAGAGTTAAGCAATGGCAATGCGATGTAGTTATATATATATATATATCCCCTTTCCTCGCTGTATTGAGGAGAGTCTAAGAGATGATATATATATTAGAAAAAAAAAAAGCAAAACCCTTTCCCTTCCTTTCGTTTCGGCTTCTCTTTCTTTCTAAATATGCCTTAATACTTTTTTAGTTATTTCTTTTCTTCGGTAGTGGGAGGGGTAGGACGGTATGTCGTTCCACTCTAAGACTCACTGTGTTATCGACCCGCGTCCTTTCCTTTCGCTTTCTTCTTTCTTTTTTTCGCTTTATAATGTCTCTTGTTGTTGCAGTTGTTTCTTTTTATTTTTTGCTGATCCTCTTTTTTTTTTCTTTGCCGCTAATACGCCTAGTGAGTTTAGGGATAACCTGTAAACACAGAGACACAAAAAGTGTAGTTCTCCCTTTTATGTGTTAATGCGTTACCGGTGCTTTTTCTACAAGAGAGGTATGTTTATGAATGTGTGTGTTTGTGATGGAATAAATGGGAAAAAAAAAAAGAAAAAAAAAAATAAAGAGAGCCAATAAAGAGAAATAATAGTGAGAAAAGGCTGAGTTTGCTTACATGAACCTTTAAACAAAACCCAAAAACAGGCAGATACAATTTTTCACATAATTTAAAAAAAAAAAATAGAAGCAAAGGAAAGAGAAAATAAAAATAAAGTAAAAAATAAAAAAAGAGAGCGTGAAATGTCTATTAATTATTTCTTTTTTTTTTCTTTTCGTTATTTCTCTCGCCGCAACGAACTCCCCAAATGTTTACAAGTATGTGTGTTTCTTATTCACTTTCTCCCCTTTGCATTCCCAACCCTGCATCTAACAAAAGAGAGCAGGCAGACCCCAATCCACTATCTACTCCTCACATCTCCGGTGGGTGGTGGGTGGTAAAGACGTGAAATGGTTCAAAGTCCTCCAGCAGCGGATTAAATCCACTGCGTGTAGTGAAGAGTGCCGTCTTATCTCCACCAAAAGTTCGCCAAAACTGCGGATGTGAAAGACTAGAGATTTCTTTATGTGAACCACAGATATTACGATACACCACAGAGAGATGTTCAAAGTCTGTGGGAAAGCAAATATCCACCATACCGGCATTGCTGTGGAGAGAATCGCTGGGTCGACGTAAATAGAGATCTTTTGCGATGCGCACTTTACTCTGGCATACAGGGCCATTTACACCGGGAAGTGCCTGTCGAACACTAGACCAGTCCACAAGAAAGAGATGATGACGTGGAAATTGTGCAGCGCATGTTTCAAGAAAGAGCATAGCGACAGTGGGGATCCACAGTGTGCGCAAGGGACTGTGTATCCATATCATTTTAGTGATAATTACACGGAGTGGATCATACATTTGTGGCTCGATGCCATTATAGGGTGGAGGATCAATGTTATCTCGCCCACCAGTGAGACAGAGAACTTTGAGACTATGGAAAGACTCCTCTTGTAGCCAACGCAAATAACGTAAATAACGCAAGATAAGAGGATCTTTCACCGGGAAGTATCGTTCATGTACTGTAGAGAGATTATCATGTTGTTGGAATCCAAACCATTGTTCATTACAAACGCCATCACCACTGAGGACAATACAGTCGTGTGGCATACTAGAAAGTAACTCTATACCGAGAATAACACAGCGGCGAAGTTCGACATCACGCCAATTTAGAATAGAGATATTGTGAATCTTCACATGGTGATAATGTGAAATGAGTCTATTCCGTAGAACCTGCACCAAATACGGGTTCTGTTCGATTACGTGGTATTCACATTGGGCATACACCGCGGGAAAGTGTTCGGCGAGGTAGTCTAATACACTTACCGCCAATGCCCCTGTACCTGCGCCAATATCATAGACGACAAGAGGCTCCCGTGGGTCAAACTTTGCCCGCATCATGGTGACAAGATACTCTGCCAACACCCAGCCGTAGTGTGGTTGAAAGAGTTGTGTTGGTGTAATGCATGCAGGTGTGGATTCATGAATCTTGGCAACATAATGTTCGTAATCGTGTTGATTACGAAGACTTGCAAAAGGTACTGGATCAAAATAACCGGTTGTCATAAGCTGGCGGTATTTGCGGTGTAGTTTTGGATAGTATCCCCATTTTTTGTGGTAAAGGGCGAAGTGAATAAAATCTCGCATGATAAGTCTACTACCGAGAGAATCATGATCTGCAAGGGCTCCACCCTCAAAAACAAGAAGATCTTCAAATAGTTTTTTGTGTCTCGCTACTCGACGTTCCTCCTCTTGCAATGCGAGTTCGTGCAGCCTCACTTCTGAGAGAGCGTTACTTGCAGAGGATACAATAGACGGCATACCGCCATTAGTGGATATGGAAGGTCGCGTAGATGCAGAAGCGTTAATGGCTGAAATACCAGTAGATTCAAGAGCATCTTTTGGGTAAGATTGATGATGACGATAATCAGGAGGCAGTAGAGCACCATCATCAGTTTTACTACTACTATTACTATTATCATCACCATCACTATTACCACTACTACTACTACTACTACTACTACTACTACTACTACTACTACTACTACTACTAATGGTACTGATTCCTCTAGTAGTGGTAATGGAGAAACGACTGTGAATCAGCATTTTGCTTTGTGTGATATCACAGTTAGTGGAAAACCGCCTCAGTGAAGTAAGAGAACGCAACAACATTGACATCAGTTAACCCCCACCCCCTTCTTTCCAGTGCTATGACTAAATGTGAATAAATCTATATAGATATATATGTCTGAATAAAATAAATATATTACTATCCCCTCGAGTGGGTTAGCAGTGTAGGCGATCACGCCTATTTTTTTTTTTTTTTTTCTTCTTTATGCAATTAAAACGAAGAGAAATGAATAATAACAAGAATAAGAATAATAATTTAGAATAGAGGAGAATAGGACCGTGATGTACATGACATACTGCAAGTATATACTTTACCCCTTCAATTATTAATTTTCTTTTTTTTTTTTCTTTTGGGGGGTTCTCCAATCACCAGAACCCCTCTCACAAGATTTTCCTTTCATTCACAATCCCTCTTTAACGCTATCCGGTGGACAAAGGCCGCACACCACGAACGCAAACGGGAATTCAGATTTCCTTCCAACATTCCAAACAATATTTCACACCTCTCAAGTGGTCATAATATCACTTTCATACATTTTCCTCATTTCCTCTAAATGAAGGGGAATACAAACATACCCAGAAAAAACCATATATATATATAGATAGATAGATAGATAGATATAGATATATGGGTGTTTGTGTATATTTATATACTTTATAAGCACAGAGAAACATAAGCACATGTATATATATGTATATATATATAACTACTCACTGCTTAGGTGAATCAACCGCACAAAATAAGTATTCTATTGCTGATACTGATACCGCAATCAACTCTTTTTCTCCTGGTCAAACTGAGCCAGTAAACTTTCCCCTCATTGGAGACGCCACCAAATTAAAACTCATTGGAAACGAGAAAAAGAAAAAAAGGTGGGTCTTGTCTACCAGGCGATTTGAACGTTTCGCCTGGTCTCTCTGTATTACACGGGAGTAGGGAAAAGGCAAAAAAAAAAGACGATTGGAGAAAACAAGATCACAAAAAAAAAAAGAAACATCAGAAGAGAAAAGAAAAAAAAAAAAAAAATTAAGTAAAGCAACTATGGCGAGAGAATGTCTTTCACACCGCTGCTGAATAGTGGTCATCCATGGAAAATGGATCGTGGTCGTGATCGTGGCGGTCCGGTTCATTTAAAGCATGTGACATGTTAAAGAATATCATGTCATCTCCCCTCGTGTTATTACTATTATTATTATTATTATTATTATTATTATTATTATTATTATTACGATTGTTTGTACTAGTACCATTATTCTCTACAGGTGGCTTCTGTTTGTACTTGTGGAAGTCTCTACGCTTTCGAATGGAAAAGCACTGGCACCATTTATGCTTCTTTTGATTTCCTCCATCCTGAAGACCTTGTGCATTTAACTGTTTCAACCGTTGTTTTTCACGCTTTTTCTCTCGTTTTTTCAACATTTGGTCGTATGTTGATTGGTGTGTCTTGCATAGATAAGCGTGAAAGAGAATAAGTTTACCCAACACACCCATACCAGCTAAACATAGCGCTACTGTAATAAATATAAAAGTCATGTATGCCGCGTACTTCGAAGAGTGATAACGGCGCTGCAACAAGTCCTCATATTTCACCTTATCTCGGAAAGCATCCACAATAATGTACAGACCAACAGCAAAAATAAATGCCATTCCAACCCATGCTGTTAACATAAAGGCACAGAATGGCTTATAGTTCGCTACACCAATACACGAGTTCAGCCACCGACAATGATGATCAAACCCCGGAACACACTTATCACACACCCCACAGTGTTTACTACCACTCTTTACAAAACGACGACAGAACACACATGGATCTGTACCCGGTGGTGCGTCTTCCTTAGTGAGTTCCGTCTGTTCAAGTCTTGGTAAATCGGTGCGAAATATAATAGGATCCTCAATACGACTGAGTGAAAGTGTTATCTTCAGTACAATAGTGACGGTGAACATAATCGCCGAGATCACAGCAACGACGATAAGTGCGGCGCCACTTAAAAACGGCACGTGGAGGGTGAAGTGTAAAACGGCGAGTGCCACAATGACGACCCACGCCACTATCTGCAGAATGTCGAGTGGACACTCAAAGCCGGTACGCCGCGGCCGCACAGGATCACCGTACACATCCGTCCACTGTCCCTCTGATGGCTCGAGACACGAGAATGCCATGATGTATACACAGAGATAGTCACTCACTAAATAACAATAATAATAATAATAATTTCTAGTCTATTTTCTCTTTTTTTTTCTTTTCTTTTTTTTTTTGTTTCTGTTGCTCCCAGTTTTCTAACACAAATTGCGTTTTATACCAATAGCTTTACCTTTCAATCCTTTTTTTTTCCTGTTTATCTGCCCTCTTATATTCACCTCTTGTCCTCTGTCTTTTGTTTTGTTTTGTTTTTTCTCTTTTATTTTTCTCTCTTTTTCTTTTTTTTTTTTTTTTTTACTCGCCCAGAAGCGGTGTTAAAGAGTTCTAACAAGTACTAATACCTCCGTCAAGGGGAGAGAACGAAGCCTTTAGTTATTGTTGTTGTTTATTCGTTTGGGTTTAGCCTTTGATCTGTGATAATGAATGATAACGTTAAATGAGCACACGGAGAATACGCAGGAAAAGGGGACGGGGTAATGCCACAATACAGTGACACTTTAACGTGCGCACCTAACCTCCTCAATCAATTAATCAATCAATCAATCTCGCAGATGGAAAGGAAGAAGAAGAAAAAGAAAAAAAAAAAAAAAACGAGAGGCACCAGCAGGTTTCGTGGAAGAGACGACCTCCTTGTGATGTCAGGATCTCAACTTCTGGAAGAGAAGAAATAGTAAGAGCTCCTCCACTGCTATACTTTCGGAATAGTACAGTAAGAAAAAGGGGAAAGAGAGAAATAATATACATATATGTACAAAGGAAATAAGAACAATGAACACAACAAGTAAACGAAAGAAAGAAAAATGGAAAATGGAAAATGAAAACAGAAAAAAATAAAAAATAAAAATAAAAATAAATGTAATACTGCAAAGCCCGAGAAAAGTGAAGAAGAGGGATTGAACTTCGCACAAGAAGATATTGTGGACACCTCCCTTCTCCTTATAAATATATTGCCTGTAAAGTACACCACACAATAATCGTCATGAAATCAACTGAGACTGCTCTGTTAGTACACATGATTGTACATTTTAACTAAAGAAGAAGAAAATATCCATAGATGATTTGATCCTTCTTCAACCATAAGTTTCTTATTGCGTTTTTTTTTTCTTCTTTTTTTCTTTTCTTTCATCCCATTGATTCATCAATGGCAAGATCCAAAAGTAATGTCCAAGAGCAATAAGAAGAACAAAAAGTAAAAAAGTAAAAAATAAAAAACAATAACAAACTCAACAGATCACACAAGTACTGTCTTTATTAGTTGAATTGTTTTGCCTTAAAGTATCACGTGTATACATAAAAGACGTAAAGATTCAGATTCAACCACAGAGATGAACCATAAGAGAGAACAATGACGAACTACAAGTAGAGAAACAAATAGACCTACAAATACATATGTATACAAAAAGCACTATCAGTAGTTTCTTTCTTTTTCTTTTTTTTGTTTTTCTTTTTTTTTTTTCTTTTGGATGTACCCGAGCCAATTGTATCATATACTTTTTATAGCATATCCCTCTTATACTATATTATACTATATGATCATCTCATATTCTTCTTCTTCTTTCGATCCCTTTCTTTCTTTCTTTTTTTTTTTTTTTGTTCTTTGTTTTTCTTATCTTTCCTTTTCTCTTTCTTTTTTCTCCCATACCATCCCTATGCTCTCCCCTCTCTCACTTCTCTCGCTTATATGTTTTCCCCCACAATGATGCCACACTCTCTGCGAAGGCTGGTGTGTTCTTCTTCAACTTCTCAATAAGTGTCTCCACCTGCTGGACGACATTCTTTTCATAGGCGGTGAATTCCTCCTGCAGGTGTGTCTCTGTGTAGAGTCGCTTTATCACCGCCACCTTCACCGCCTCTTTACTGCCGTAATTCGCCTTAAACTCCTCCACCTGCGCGGGTGTGGCCTTTGCGAGGAAAGTCACGGCGAGCCACGAGCACTTCGCATCCTCAATGTCTGTGCCGATCTTTCCAAGTTTCTCTGGTGGAGTGAAGCAGTCCATCACGTCGTCCTGCACTTGGAAGTATTCGCCCATCAGCATGGCAAGATGCTCCGTGACGGACATATCCACAGATGATAAACCACCACTCACAAGGAGTCCCATCACAAGAGGGAGTAAATAGGTGTAGAATGCGGTCTTGTGCTTGACGATACGCTTATAATTGGCAATGGTAAACTCTGCGTAATCGGTTGTGGTTGGTTGCTGTATATCTGGGTCAAGTTTCTTGGAATCATACATGGAAGTCACATCATAAAACTGACCAACAGCAGTGATGTAGTCAACAGAATGAAAGCGACACAACAACTCTTGTAAAAATGAACGCTCGGCAAAGTAATGTAATGCCATCATATGTGCCCAAGACTTAAGAATAAGTCCATCATTAATGGCAGACTGCGTAGTGACACCTGGATGACGATACCAGCATGGTTTTCCTCTACGTGTTGTGCTACTATCCATAATATCATCCTCCACTAGAAAGTGGGCTTGCAGAAATTCAATCATCCATCCACACACACAGGCGTCATGAAGGACACGCTCTTTAAGCGCCTCATCATGATAATAAGAAGATAAGACGGATTCCGCAACATTCACCACAGTTATGCCACGGTTGTATTTTCCACCCAGACATGTTGTATCCATCATCTTTCGAAGGTAATTTACACGGTTAGGGTCCATCTCGTAATCGGTAATCAGCTGCTGCAGCAAGAATGCCTGGATCTCTTTGTAAACCTGCATAAACCTATCCATGTTCCCCATCCTTTTAAAGTTTAATAATAAATCAGCAATATGATTTTTTTTTTTTTTGTGTGTGTGTTGTTCTTTTTCTATTTGTTCTAGCGATCCCTTCTTCATTGAAGAAAACCATAACAATATAAAAAGAAAGAAAATAATGTGAATGTGAAATGGGAGACGAAAAGAAAAAATAAAATAGATAAATAAACAAATAAATAAACAAGTCCAGTTAAACCAAATTTCCCCCCACCCCCCCAAAAAAAAAAGACGACACATCCACATACAAAATTTCTTGGGCCATTGTTTTTTTTTTTTTTTTTCGGTCATTCTGTAAAGCGACACTATGCACACACACACAAACACAGAAAAAGGGAAACAAAAGAAATAAAAAGAGGGGAAAAAAAGATGAAGGGAAAGGAATTCTTTCCTACCCCTTGTGTTTTGTTTTTCTACCTCGCGCATCACTTATCTTTCATCATTCTACTCTTTGTTCTGATGCTTTGAATAATTTTTTTTTTTCTTTAGAGACAATACAAGCTCTACATTGTATAGAAAAGTTGCGCTGGTCAGCTGTCACCCAATGTATATATGTATATATGTGTGTAAATCTGCTTCCTTCTTGGTAAGCATGACCCCCACTTTATACTCTCGGTATACCCCGCTACTCATCTTGGCTAGACAGCTAACATACTTCTTTTTTTTTTCTTGTTTTGTTTTGCGTTCTTTTCTTTTCTTTTTTGTTTCTGTTTTTTTTTTTTTTTTTACTTTGATTTGCTTCTCTTTCTTCGTTTGCACTACTTCTTTGAACTCCCATTTGCTTCCCTTCAGTTCCTGTTTCATTTCCACACGTCAGTTTCACTTATCGGTCACCGACAAGCAGGACAGGATGTCCATCGCCGCCGTGACCTCGGTCCGTATCTTTCAGCAATAAATTGATTTCCTCCACAAGACGTAGGCATTCTGTCTTGACGCTAAGATAATAACTTTCCTTCCCCTTCAGTCGTACAAACTCCTCAAGAGAGAAGGCAGATTGGCGTAGGTGTCGTAAACGTCCCTCCAATGTAGACATAGAACGGAATGCCGCATCTTCATTAAGCCGTTTACGCATATTTTCATTAGATGTACTGGCTGCGTTCATCTGCTGTTTACAAGAGTCACGTAATTTTGTAAGGAAATCCCGTTCATTAACAAGATCCGCACGGCGTTGCTCAACATTGCGGCGTAAAGCTTCCATATCACTGTACTTTACCATCTCTTGCGACTGTTCCTCCATCTTGAGGGCATGTGCTTGCAACTCTGCCTTAATCTTGCTATCAAGACTTTCCACCTTTTCAAGTTCTAACTTGCGATCGAGTAATTCCTTTTGAAGGCGTTGATGCGTAACTTGGTCATTTTGAATTTGATTGCGCTTCGCATCTACTTCAGTTTCTAATGCCTGTAAAGCACTTGGTGCTCCTTCACGGGGCATTTGTTTACGGAGCTCAAGGGCCTGTGAAATGCGTTCAAGTAATAGTGAAATATTCTGCTGAACGGCTGCGATCTTATCAGCTTCTTCCTTTTGTTTCTCTGGAAGAGAATCCATGAAAGTTTGTAATTCACGGTCCTTTTCTTGTAGCTCCTGAAATGCTTTGAGATTTTCTCCACTGTAGCTTTTTAACTCTTCATCAAGTAAATTACATCGACTTCTAGACTCACCCAGAGCCTCACGTGTCTCGTTTACTTGTCGCTCTAGTACTTCAATATCACCACGTGCGCTTTTGACTTGTTTAATGAGTAATTGACGTTCCTCCTCCACTGAAAGTGCACATTGTTTAGTGAGTTCCTCCTTCAGTTGACGTTTACGTAGAATTTCACGCAAAACTTCTGCCGCCCGTTTTTTATCAGGATCTGTGGCAAGTTTTGTCATCAATAACTCTTGTCTAGCAGTCAATGTACGTACTTGGTGTTGACGATTAAGTACAGCATCTGAAACCCCAAAGGCCTCATCACGTGTAGCATTGTATAAACTGTAATCTTGATTCTCCGCAATAAGGCGTCGATCTAATTGCTGAATTTCTTCCTCTAGAGTTTGCATATTCTTTTTCGCTTGCGTCTCTGCCTCTTTTACATTGAGAAACAGTTGATCCACCTGTTTCCTTTGCTCGATATTCATCTGGGTTAACTTCGTAGCTTGTTCCTTTACACTGTTTGCATCCTGTGATGTGCTCTTCTCTACTGCGAGATTAATATCTGCAAGGGTTCCCTTCAATTTCGTAATCTCATCTGTCAAATTCTTATTCCTGTGCTGCAGCTGTACCAACACCGAGCTATTCTTCCCGATAAGCTCTTCCTGCTCACTAAGCCGCTCAATCTCCGTTGTGAGTTCCGTGATCTTTGGTCGCAGCAGTCCAATGTAGTAACTGCGATCTCCCACTTGCCGTCCGGGACCCGCATTGCCAGAGCGTGTGGCCGCCCGCATTCCCTCTAATGTCACGGGTGCCCGGGCGGTCACAGTGACGGCCTGCTGAAGACTTTCGCCCATACCGGCAACTTGTGCACCCGGGCGCATTTGCGAGCCGGGCCGCATTTGTGAACCGGGCCGCATCTGCGATCCTGGACGAAGACTAGAGCCGGGCCGCAAGGCATTCGGCTGGCCAAGACCAATGGTATTACCAAAGCCTCCCTGCATTGTGTATCAGAGTATCACAGACCTGGAGGGATTGGGAATCGGGTAGAGAAGTAGATACACGGGGAAAGTGAAAGTGAAAGAGGGTATGAAAGTGGGTGGTGACAATCTAATCCCTTTTCCTTGTATGTTCAATTCTTTATTTTATTTTATTTTTTTGCTTGCTTTTTTTTTTTTTTTTGATTGTGGTTTGGTGTATTGAGTCCCTATCTGTGATGTGGCCGACTTTCCAGAAGGTGGGAAAGTGGTGGTAGATTAAAAAGAAAAAGGGAAAAAAAGAGGAAACAAGGAAATAAGGGAGTATATGAGATCCAGCAACGTCTTGATTTTTCTTTCTTTTTTTTTTTTCTTTTTAGGCTCTCAACGTTTTTTTTTTTGTTTTTGTTTTATTTAGGTGTTGTTTACTACTTTTTTTTTTTATTTCGTTGCATCTTCTCGTTTAGGAAATGAGTTAAGAAGAAGATCAGGACTCTCAACGGAAAACACGCACCTCTGAATGTGTGTGTCTGTCAGCATGCTCACTGCTGCTAACATTGGGGCCCCAATAATCAGCAGAATTACCAGCAGTACCAACAATTTACTCGGCACAGAGAAACAGGAAATAGAGAATTAAGAGAGAAGGAGAAAAACGAAAAAAGAAAAACAAAACAAAATGGCATGCACACATGACCTTCCTCCGTGTGCATCACAATGGCAACAATAATTATAAAAATAATAATAGTGAGAACAATAGAATCTGAACTTTGTTTTTGTATTTTTTTTTTTCTTGTTATTGTTCTTCTTTTTCGTCTTCTATCCTCTTTCTTGCTTTCCTCTGTCTTCTCTTTTTTTCTTTTCTTTTTTTCTCTTTCTTTAAATAAAAACATATATAAAACAGCTTAATCTGGTAGTTTACTCTTCTAGGCAATTTTCCTTCATTGGCAATATACCCTCTGCCTCTCTTTTTCTTTTTCTTCTTTCTTCTTTCTTTTTTTGTTTTTTTTTCGGCATTGGATCACCCTCAAACCGCCTCACACGTTAGGCCTCACGTAAGCTGTACTCGGGATCACCAGTCCATATCATCTACGCGACTACGTTTCTGCACCTGATCATCCTCTACCTCTTCCTCAATGATCAAACGCTGTCGTCGTCCCTTTCCTCTGCTGCCGCCATGTTTTCCCGTTTCCTGCACTTCATCCTCCTCATCCTCTTCATCCATCACAAACTCCGGGAACTCTTCATCCTCCTCATCCTCTAACGCATCCAACTCGGCACGGTCCTCTTCCTGGTCAAGCACACGCTCAAAAGCCTCACGGCTGCAGTTCATTACACTATCATATGTGCCCTTACGCAGACGATCCAGGAGTTCCTTCTCAATCTCCAGTTCTAAACGTGCGGCAGCCTCAGCCTTCTCTTCACGACGCAACAATTTATCCTCTTGTCGTTTATTAACAGATACGTACTCTACCTTTGGCTCCATCAACATCTTTCGTCGACGCATAAGGTATTGCTTCAACCGCAGCAGACGTGCCTTGACCTTATTCACAAGTTTCTGATCCCACCACTGCAGTTCCTCGTCAATCTGTGCGAGGGCACGTGGGAAGCTAGCGTCAAGACGTACCTTCTCCCATTGTCGACGTGGCAGATGGGCACGCTCTGCGGTCTTAATATACAAGTACAGTTCATCTTCGTGCTCAATAATGGTTGCATATTGTGCATTAGAGAGTGGACAGACACCACGCTGACAGAGACCTGTCACATTATAGGGATTACGACAGAAACGAGCCTTTTCATCATGTGTTTTAACTTTAAAGGAGCAGAAATTCTGCCCCATAATGTTCCACATCGCATCATCGTGGTTCATTGCTCCTAGGCGGTGAGTTTGTAATAGTTTTCTTTAATGGGTGTGTATGTATATATGTATGTATGTGTACTATATATATATATATATATATATATATACGTTCTCCTGTTTGTACGTAATGTGGAAAGGTTCGCGTACAGTTTTTTTTTTATTTTATTTTCTTGGCTTATTATTCCCGGAGTTGTGGTACCCTGCACTTCTCTCCCTCTTTTTTCTAGAGGTAAGTTTTGTGCGTTCCTTCACGTGAAACGAATAACTAGGCCCTTTGTTGTTGTTTTTTTCATTCAAATGAAGCACAAATCAAAATCAAACACAAAAAAAAAAGAAAAAAAAATCAAGTACATATATACCGTAACAGACCAGAGATGCTGCATATATTTAGAAAATGATTAACATGCTCCTTAACCCAAGAGACCTAGGTCAGAATAATTATTATTATTATAATAAAAGAAGTAAGAGAAAATAATTTTCAACACAGCAGTAGTAACAGTAGCTACGGCTTTCCTACTGCTTGTTCATCTTCAGACCTGCTGCACTGAAGCAGCAACGGGTGATCACGACCCATAAAGTCTGCAACCGCAGCAATTGCTGTAGTTCCAAATGGAATATTAAGTACACGCAACTTCACTGCCTCTGTCAGGCAACGTTCAATATCACCAGCTAAAAATAGTGTCACCACTAGTGCACAGCGATGATTATGACTGTGCGGGTCGGCCACAAGTATTTCCCGTAGTCGCCGCTCACTACAAGTATCACTACGCCACGTAAACGGCATGGCAGATATGAGTCGATATGTCGACCGCACACGCGCCGCATCGCTGCCAATCTCCATGCAGTAATCTACGTACTGTGTTTCCAGTCGCTGCATATATGCCTCTGCACTTCTACCTTGTACGATTTGTGCTAACGCGGTCCATGCAAGGCACAATGCGAGACTACCATTCACGTTATTGTCTCCATTGCAGTGCGGCAAAACCGCATCTAGTGCGTCGACGGCGCGCTGGAAGAACTTACCCGCGTATTCCGCTTTCCCCTCCGCCATTAGTCGTTTACCCATTCCAACGAGTTTGGAAACATCCACCATTAAGCGTGCATCGCTCTCCACTGCAGTTGCAGAGTTAGTAGTAGTAGTATTAGTAGTAGATGCGGGAGAAAGCGAAGAAGAGGAAGAAGAGGAAAGCACTGCAACTTTACCTCCACGTTGGTACGATGACAGGCGTTCGCAAAGCCGTGGCATCTCATCCATCATGCTTGAAAGGGATTGTCTAAATGTGTCAGCGATTGTTTCTCTGTATACAACTGCCAAGAGTGGCGTCCCCCGCTCTTTTCCCAGTTGTTGCTTCGCTGCCGTAAACGCGTTACTGCTGCATTCCCAAAAGTGCAACTGCAATTTAGTGCCATGCGCCTCCGCAGCCGCTCGCACAGTGTTTTCAAATACCGATAACTCTTCCGTCTTCACATTATCGCCTACAGCCTCGTAACAAAGCAATAATCGGTCACTTCTGTTTGGAGTAAAAACTGAGCGGAAATCATCCACACTATGGATGGTACTCGATGAAAAGAGAGATACCGCCATTATTTACCCCTAGATAAGGAAAGATTTTCTTGCTAAAAAAAAATAAATAAAATAAATAAAATAAAATAATAAAAAATTAAAAAATTAAAATTAAAAATAAGAACAGCGTTTGGTTGTATCAGGGATAAAGAAAATAAAATAATAAAAAACGATAAAGAGGAGGAAAAAGACGAACTTTCTGAAGTACAGAAAAAAAAAAACAAAAAAAAATGGAGGTGAACTTTACAAACATTCAGACCGCCATATGAAACGAAAAAAAAGAAAAAAAAACTATTTTTTTGTACATGTTCCAGGTTTATCTTGCCCTAACAAAAGCCGCAAGTTCACCTTTTGATACTCTTCTTGTCTGGTAACGCTGATACACCTTCCATGCTCATAGACAATATGTTTGGATTCACCATCAGCGGTGTAGATACCATCACCATGAGGTAAATCATTATCCCACATTCCTTGAAATGTTCCTCCACCCTGAATTCTGATTTCTCCCCTGCCGTGTTTTTTATCATCACGCCATTCACCATGGTACTCTACCTCTTCAGAACGATACACACCCCATCCTTGTCGTTTACCACAGTTAAAACTACCCTCGTAACTCTGCTTCTGCGCCTGGCTGGTAAATTTCCCTTGACCATGAAACATACCATTAAACCACTCCCCCTCGTACATGGAGCCATCCGCATACCGGCACTTTCCTTTACCGTGCACTGTATCATGCCGCCAATCTCCATCGTACTGAAGTAAGACACTTGAGTATGTTCCCACACCATGACGAAGTCCGTGTTGCCACTCACCTACGTATGTATCGCCGTTAGAGTATGTTAGAGTTCCTCGTCCTTGTTCAGTACCGGCACTCCAATGACCCTCATATTTAGCTCCAGTTGGAAGAAGATATGTTCCTTGACCCTCATATAAACTATTCATCCATTCACCCTTGTATACATGACCATCATTGTAAACATACTCACCATAGCCTTCCAAGCGACCATCAACAAATTCTCCAACGTACATGCCTTCTGGTTCTACTAATTCTCCACGACCATGCCATTTTCCATCCTGCCATTTCCCACTGTAAAAAGTACCAAAATCAGGGCTGTGGCAAGCCCCTGTACCGCTACGCAAACCAAGAAACCATTCACCTTCGTAAAGATCATTCGCTTCCACTCGCTTCATATAACCTGTTCCATGCATGCGACAACCCTTCCAATTACCTTCATACACATCGCCGTTGTCAAAGACGAATGATTGATTCCCTTCGGGTCTAAGTCTTGTCTGACGTTCATGGATAGCAATGCTCAAATCAGTAAGAAGCTGTTGTGTAACCTCCGAAGCTTGTTGATCTATAAAATCCATCTCTTGTCGTCGTTCGATTTGTTTTCGTAACACCAAGTGACGGGTCCTCTTATGCTGTAATGCTTGAAACACCTCCACAGTTCGCAAATCGAATGAAAGCATGACTGCTTTTTGCATTTCCAGAGACTGTTGGAGAACAGCTTCTCCATTTGGCGGGAAGGCAAGCGGATTTAACATGAATTGCTCCCCAGGCGACGACTTCACAGACGTTGATGAAGTATGTGCTGCAAGTGACATTTTTTTTTTCTTTCGTATTTCGAGATACGAGACAACAGTCACCCTGTACAGACAAACCAAAGTGCTTGCTAGATTAAAGAAAGGTGGCACAAGTACAAAGGAAAAATGGGGGGGAAACAAAAACAAAAGCATAAAAGTCACTCATTCTCGTGAAAATAAAACAAAGAAAATTAAAATAAGAAATAAATTTAAAAGATATTCCAACGTCAGTACCACCTATGTAGATAGCAGCCAAAAAAAAAAAAAAAATGAAATAAATCTCTAAGTTGAAAAAAAAAAGACGGGCACCATTGGAAAGAAATACAGAAACAAAAGAACCAACATCTATATTCATGTGTCCTTCAGCACATCACCATCTTTCGCAAACATATACCAATGCATCTACTTTCCACGCATTTGCATCATAACGTTCTTAAACTCCTCAAAGGACACTTCACCGTCACCATCTTCATCAGCCTCAGCAATCATCTCACGCAGTACGTCATCGCCGGGATTCTCACCCAATAGCTTCGACACCTCCTTCAGGTTTTCAAATGAAATCTTTCCCTTCTTATCAAGGTCAAATAATTGAAATGCCTTCAGTACCTCTTCTGGTGAGTCCTTCTGAGCCATACGTGACTTCACCACACGTTCAAACTCACCGTATTCAATCAGACCATTGGCATCTGTATCCATTGTGCGGATCATACGTTCCACCTCGTCCCGCGGCAGATCACCAAAGCCAAGTCCCTTCATTGCCAGTGCCATTTCTTCTGCATCAATAGCGCCGGAGCCGTCAGCATCAAAAAGGTTGAACGCCTCTCGGATTTGCTCATCAGTAAGTGCGGCCATTATGTATCAGTGTGTTTGTGCTGCTCTCAAACAAGAAAAATAATTTCAAAAAAAAAAGACTGTAGAAGAACTATTGAAAAATTCACTTTCTGGTAGCAAAGAATAATCTAAAACAACATACGAAAAATAAGTAAAAATAAAAAAAAAAAGCAAAAAAGCAAAAAAGGGGAAAGTTGAGTCAAGATGTTTTTTCCCATCATCATGCAAAAAATAGGATTCATATTTTAGCGTACATGAGTCAAGCTTATCTCACTCTGTGATATCCTGACTGTACCCTCACTAAAAATAAATAAATAAATAAATAAATAAATAATAATAATAATAATAATAATGAGTATATGTAGATTCGCTCATATCTCTAAAAAACAAAAACCTCCGATATTTTCCTATAAGCAGATAATTAATGATGCTCTACAATAATACGCAATGAGGTACGATGGGGTTTGAATAGCCTCAAAGTCCCAACAACTTTTCCTCCTGTTAACACATCTACTTTCCACGCATTTGCATCATAACGTTCTTAAACTCCTCA